GAAGTAATTTTATTTGAATACCATTCTCTGTTTCATCTAAATCTATAACTTCATCACTATTTTCATCGAATGTGTAATCCATATGGATATCTGTTTTGTTTGCAGCTAAAAGTTCACTAGCATTTGCATTGATTTCACTTACAATAATTGAATTAGTACAATTTTGAATTGAAATTCTAGGCAATTCTGCTTCAATAGTTATATCAACATTTGAATTTGCTAATTGTTCATTCAGTTTACTTTCTTCATTTGTCAAATTAAGATCATCATGTCTATCGGATTCATCGCATTCATTTTCAATTGACATAACACTAGAATTATTCAAACGTGAATCAAGCCATTCTGTGTCATTATTTAAGTCCATAATCTTATTTATGTCGCTATTATACAATTGTGTAACATTTTTCTTTTTATCATCACCATCGCAAATTTTAGTACTGTTCATAGCAGTTACATCCATTTGGAAGATGTCACCATGGTTACTAACAGATACCTTTGATACTTCTAACGTATCATTTTTTTCATTTTGCTCAGCTATAGCAAGATTTTCTTTACTTATATTAAGTGGAGTTGTTATCTGATTTTTAAATATAATGCTTGATTTACAAACTGGGCTGTCTGTGCGACGATAGTGTTTGTTTAATGGTCCAATATTATTAGTTTTAGCACTTAAGTTTTTGAATAACACATTCGAGGTATTGAGTTCTGTGTTATTTTTGCTGATATCAAGTCCGCTTATATTATCCTCGCTATTTCTCTCTTTCTCTACTAATAAAATTTTTTTACTTGGACTTTTTACTTTTAACTTCTCACATATTTCAGATTTATTGAAAGTAGTCATACATTGTAATTCTTCGATTTCATTTAGTATAATAGATTCATCATTAACTTCTGAAAATGATTTTTTTCTACTGATATCAGTTCCAGTTTTATTTACATCATTATCTTCGTTGCAAGAGTTATCATCTGCGCAATTTGCTTGATGTGAGTCAGTCTTATTTACTTCTTTAAATTTATTTAGTGTTTCTTTTGGAGTAATTATGACGTGTTCAATTATTGAAACACTATTCCTTTTGCTTTGATTAGATATAGAATTATTAAACTGTCTCCGCTCGTTATTTGTAACACCACAACGAAAACTGATAAATTCCCGTTGTTTTGCTGGTTTTCCTCTATCTACAGAAACGTTTTTACTAAGATCGGGATTATCCGCTTTAGAATCGAAAAATATATGCTGAGATTTAATTTGCGAGTTTGTGTTTGTGCTCAATCTTAAATCTTTTTCGTTGAGAGTCCGTGTTGAAGTCAGAATATTTATATCACAGGAAGTGTCCAAATTAGCTTGCTCTATGAATAAAATCAGAAAATGTGAAAATAAATGATAAAATTTTACTTAAAAAATATAGTAAATTATATCTACTACCTTCAGGAGAACTATTTGAAATGTTTACTTTATTTTTTTTATTCGTACGTTCACGTTTTTTTTTATTGGACAATACGTTTGACACGATTTCATTAGTTACTGGTTCTATATCAGCCACAATTTCTGTACTAATATTTATATTACATTTGCTTAATTGATTTATTTGTGGCTCTGTGCAAGTCACAACTTCATTAGTACTGGATATTTCGCATGATTTTTCTTTTGGTTGAACATCTAATATGCTTTTGGTACGTTTTGGTTGATTTGGAGTTGAACTCTTGCAGCCATTTTCAAGCACTTGGAATTTACGTTTTCTTTGTTTTAGGTCATCATTTAACATTGATAATGTTTCAGCACATTCATCTTCAGCAGCTTTCGCTTTAGATTTTCTAAATTTTTTTCTTAATGAGTCTTCAGGTATAAATGCTCTATCAATTAAAATCAATTAAAACATTGAAACACTTATAATATGTAATTTATTCTTTAAATTTTAAAAATATCTTACTTTATAATGCTAAAAAATTTTAACATTTTAACTGGTTCTTCAGGTGGTATGAAGCAGTCATCCGCTGTAAGAAATAGTACCGGCTTTATTTCAAATAAATGCTCCACGCGGTGCTGTAGCGCTGCTATGGATGTCCATGTTGGATCAACCATTACTATAACCAATTTTCTTTGATCATTAAAAAAACTGGATAAGTCAATTTTTACAGTGAACCTCTTCATTTTTTAACACGCGCGTCAAAAACGAATTCACTTGCGCCAAATAAAACTAGCCGCTTTGTGTGCTCTAATGGTGGTAGAAACTGCGATAATTAATCGATAACAATCTTGAAATTAATAGTTTTTTTTTTAAATTCAGAAATGGTTAAATCATAAACCACTATGATTTTTTATTAGGTATGCTTATTATTACTCAAGCTAAAATACTTAAACTTTTTTGGCTTGGTTTTATTCCATTGACAAAATAACATATGATGAAAATTTGTTTTAAAGAGCTGTCAAGAATACAAAAATATAATGACGTAATTTGCCTCTGTTAAAAAAATCATGAATTCTGAAAAGGTACTCGCAATGGGGTAAACATATTTCATGTATGATCAATGCTATTTTGGTAGCGTAGTCACCAATCAAACCTCTATCGTACACTACATATTTTGCTTAGGCAGAACCATATAGAAAATGCTCTAATATTAAAACATACATAGCTTCTAGTTCATGCATAAGAAGGAAGCTTTTTTGGTACGGACTGGGTAGACAAATAATTTTTTTACTTTTCTTTATTATAGTACGTTTATTATATATCTTTGTATGCCAAGGTAAGTTAAGAATTTCTATTAAATGTGATGCTTGGACTTTGTTTTTGTGCTTTTTTTATTAAACTATATATGACTGGCTTTGTGTGCATAAAATGCAAAAGTTCTTCCAAAATTTTGTAAATTTGATATTTCCTGAAATTTTCTACTGGCTTCAGACAAATATATGAGGTTTGCCTATTATATGATGATTAAGTACAGGCAATAGCGCTACCATAGCTTTTGAAGTGTAAATGCTATTAATATTTTCAATATATTCGATTGTGAAGACCTATGGTCTACCCTATAGTAGCAAAGGTATTATAAGGTGTGGTAATAAACACCATGCTATTCAATAATTAATTATGTTTTATATTTTAAGTTTTTATTATTATTTTAATAAATTATATAAAACAAAATAATTAATAAAATTTTATTACTCAAATTATATAAAATGGTAATTCCATTACTAAATTTAATTTAATTATATAAAATCGAATTAGTAACTCAATTTTATTAAATATTAATTATAATTACATAAAATATATTTATTTATATCAAGGTGAATATTTATTTTATTGTTAATTTTTCTAAGCATTTATATATATTATTAGACTAAAGTTTTTTATACAAATTCTAATTTTCACAACTTTTTTTAATTTGTTGTTAAATTTTGAGCTATATTGACAACTTTTTAGTGCCCACTTTATGTTTTTGTATAATAGAACTTTTATTAAAAAGTCTAACAAAATTTGGTAGTAACTTTCGCACATCGGCTCTTTAAAGCTATTTTCACTTTATACATATAACAGGGCAGTTATACAAATAGTCATATAACGAATGATTAATGCAATTTTACACTGTTTTTGGTAATTCCCAAAAGGCATGTTATGCAGAGAGACATATCAGTATTGTACTTTTCGTATTTTTACTACTACTTTTATACTTCTTGGTTGTGCCTAAATTTAAATGGAAATATAGACACACTCACTTTTTCGTTGGCTGTATTTCAAAAGGTGGATATGTAAAATACACTAAAATTTTTGGACGCAATTTTAAAAATGGCTAAAATTAAGAAAATTAATTACGATGAAATGTCTTTAAAGATTCTTCAAGCTCTTAACGTATATGTGGATAATATAGTTTTTTGGTGTGAAGAGCATAGAAGCTTAATTAGAGAAGCCTTAAAATTTGTGAAAATGCTGCAAAAAGAACAACGACATGAAAGATTACGTGCATTGAGATTGTGTGTGATGAAATTGCGGCGAAAATATAAAAGAATTTGTGTTTAATTTACATGAATCAAATTACATATATGAATCAAAACAACTGCTGCTCTTAAATATTGATGCATACAAGAACTTTTACAAGGATGTTTAATGACACTTTAAATGCTATTTACACAGATGGAAAGTGTGATTTGCAAAAAAAAAAGAAAACATTTATCATTTGATTTTGTGTTGCTTGTAATATTGTTTTTATTTCTGGTGTTTTTTTTTAATCGAAACTTGCACTCATAATTGCTAATTTAAAAGTTTTTAAGACAGTGATAAGTAAGCTAATGGGCATAAAAAATACGAAAGGGTAATACCACTCACCTTTGCATAGTTTTTGTATAGTAAATGCATTTGCATATGTTTTTCCATAAAGTTTTAAACACTTTAACAATACTTTTATAACAAATAAAAATATTTATGAAATTAATAATCTTAAATTTTGATATAATTAGAAAATATATACCTTATGAAAAATCTATTACTAATTAAATAATTGTGCAACGAAAAATTCCTAAAAGTTTGCTCCTAATTTGAATTCGCATCATGTTTGTATGAGTATCTTCTTAAGAAGCGGTCACTGCAGATAGTTGGCAATAAAATGTGTTCCCACCGAATGGGAATATGTATCAGTGCGTACGCTGATAAATTTTGGAATGTTTCGAACATCAGAATGTAACAATATTTTGAAACTTAAATTTTATAATTGAACCTTTTTGGCAAATTAAAAAAAAATTTTTTTATATTTGTATTTTTATATTAAAAACCAAAAACATAAACAACACTTTCCAATATATACGATAGGTTAATATATGATATATTACAATTGATATGCAGGATACACTTGAATTTCGTACTGAAACCGTTTAATAAATTTTTAAACAGACAAATGGTTTCAGTTTAAAATGAATAAAATAAAATTATACATTGCTCTTATATCAATAATTCGAAATGATCAACTTGAACGTAATCAAAATTTTGTTGTAAAATATTTAAAATTAATCGATTACAGTGTGAACATCGCCTAATTTCGTTTGTTTATCTTTTGCACTGAAAAAAATTCAGTTTTTCTTATCAATTTCGTGACAACGATATATATTGTACATAATGTTTATATATATGTATGTAAGGATGTGCCACCAAACATTAGTTTTTCAACAAGTGTTGAAGAAGTATCAACTTAAAGTGCAAAGAAAAAATGGTTAAGCAGGCTGCAAATGAAAAAAGCAAAAAATTTAATTTTGCAATTGATCGCGGCGGCACCTTTACAGATATAATATGTATGTGCCCCGACGGAAAAGTAAAAACATTAAAATTACTATCTGAAGATCCAGCACGATATAGTGATGCTCCACGTGAAGGCATACGACGTATCTTAAAGGAGGTAAGCTCACAAAATAAAAATATTTTATGTAATATTTCGAAATTTAAACGCTACAGGAAACGGGATGCGATACAACTGCTTCAGGGCTAGTTGATACATCATCAATTGGCTGGGTACGTATGGGAACAACTGTTGCTACAAATGCACTACTTGAACGTAAAGGTGATCCAGTTGCATTAGTGGTGAATAAAGGCTTTAAAGATTTACTTTATATTGGTAATCAAGCTCGTCCAAAGATTTTTGAACTCAACATACGTAAGCCTTCTAATTTATATAAAGTTGTAGTGGAGGTAGATTGTCGTATAGTCCCAGAACAACAGGAGCGCTGTCAGCTAAGTAAGTTTCTACTTTTGTGATATATACAAAATAAGATCAAATCAAAATAATTGTGCTTAAATTAAAATAGTTATGAGTTTAGTTTTTTAACAGTTTTGTTGTTTTTAGAAAATAAATGGAAAGTGTTAACAGGAGCAGCTGGTGCAAAATATCTTGAAAAAAATTCAGTTGATGAAACTGCAATACGCACAGCTTTACAGCAAGTTCGTCAGCAAGGAATTCAATCACTAGCCGTAGTTCTGGCACATAGTTATGCTTGTCCAGAGCATGAACTCCGCATTGGTGAAATTGCGCGTGATATTGGTTTTACTCACATAACCCTTTCGCATCAAGCAATGCCTATGTGTCGTTTGGTGGCACGCGGATTCACAGCCTGTGCCGAGGCATACCTAACGCCACATGTGAAACGTTATTTAGAAAGGTAAAATTCAACTCTAGACCCAAATCGCTAGTTGTTATTATTATGTTTGTAACATAAATCATCCTAAAAGAAAAGCATATAATAGAATTACAAAACTTGCTCAATGGTATAATTTTTAAAGAGTGAGGAAATGAAGGGGAGTATTGAGGCAAGAAATGTTATATGATGAAAATCTTGAATTTTATCTGTGTTAAAATGAAGAATTAGTGTAGATATTGAGGTGTCAAGATGTAGATTTAAATATTTAAACAAACCTTAATTGAAGAAATAGCGGAGCGTGTGACGTCATGAGAAATAAAGTACAAAATCGCTATTTTGTTTTATAGCTTAGTTAATTAACTAGCATTTTTCTGCTAGTTACTTGATTACTTTTATCTTAATAATCATTTATCATTGTTGTTTGTTTAAATTAAATTTATTATTTGCATTTATATTACTTGATAGGCACAATCACACCAGTAATTAATACGGATTTTATAAATAGAAGTGCTAATTAAGATAAAATATGAAAATAACTTCTTTTTACGCTAAAGATGTTATTTTACAAAATAAAATATTTTATGTTATAAAACTTTTTATATTATTTAAAAAAACACGTAATATGCAACAACAAAGTTTATTTTAGCTTTGCCGGATCTTTAATACCATTCACATCTGTAGATAGTTTTATAATTTAGCTTATTATTAATTTCATTTATTTTTTCATACTTTTCAATTTTTTATTTTTATTAAAATCAATATACATACTTAAATACATACATTAAATACATACATATATAATATTATTTTTGAGCAGTGATTGTATATTAATATGGAATATTTATGGTTATAAATTCTCATAAGAAAATCAGTATTTTCTTTGTAGAATTCTTGATAAAATATTTGTGGGAATCAGAGGTTATCGGTCCCTGAGTTACTAGTAGCCGGTGTCTCTTTTATGAAATAATAGACTTTGACATTAATGTTAAAGAGGCTATGTTTGAGACCTCCTGATGCCTTGCATTCCGCTAAATGATATAGCCAATTCATTTTATTCATATTTAACTTTACCTTCAATATCAAAAAAAGTTGGTTTGTGGAATGTATTTCATTTAACTTACCACACTGATTCATTTTATTCATATTTAACTTTACCTTCAATAGCAAAAAAAGTTGGTTTGTGGAATGTATTTCATTTAACTTACCACACTGATTGACTATTTTGCCAATTAACTGAGATAAGCGGATATGTTTATGTTGTTGTTGTAGTCTATACAATAGACAGGCTGTTGAGTAGTATGCAACACTTGCCCAATGACTTTGTGGCATACAAAACATACAATCCTATTTGGTTTATGTAAGTGTAGAAAGTAATTTCTTCCACTACTGAATATGCCTTCTAATATTATAAATCATAATAAACATGTCTAAGACTCTTCTATTTTACATATGTGATATATATATATATATATATATATATATATATATATATGTGTGTGTATGTAGTTCTTTGCTTATTACTATTCCTACTAAACTTACTATTCCTGCATCCATTTTGATTCTAATTAAGTTTTAAATCTGGTTTTGAAAATCAACTTGCTGGAGTCGATGTACTTTTTATGCAATCGGATGGTGGTTTAACTCAAATGGATAATTTTCGTGGTGCTCGGGCAGTTTTATCGGGTCCAGCTGGTGGTGTTGTTGGTTATGCTGTTACTGGAGCGCGTGAAACAGATTTACCACTTATCGGATTTGATATGGGTGGCACTTCAACAGATGTTTCAAGATTTGCTGGGACATATGAGCATGTGATAGAAAGCACTACAGCAGGTGTTACAATACAAGCACCACAGTTAGATATTAATACTGTGGCAGCTGGTGGCGGTTCACGTTTATTTTTCCGTTCGGGTCTCTTTGTAGTTGGCCCTGAATCTGCTGGAGCTCATCCCGGTCCAACTTGCTATAAGAAAGGCGGTCCGTTAACGGTTACTGATGCTAACTTAGTACTGGGCAGAATTTTGCCGCAATACTTTCCTAAAATATTCGGTCCCAAAGAGAACGAACCTTTAGACTATTTAGAGACAAAAAGAAATTTCGAAAAACTTCAAGTTACCATTAATGATTATTTAGCGACCACTGAAGAGAAAAACCATATGTCAATAGAATCAATTGCTTTGGGATTTATACGCGTAGCAAATGAAGCTATGTGTCGTCCAATACGTGCTTTGACACAATCGCGTGGTTTGGACACATCACGACATGTGTTGGCTTGTTTTGGCGGTGCTGGTGGCCAGCATGCATGCTCAATTGCTCGAGAATTGGGCATAAGTAAGGTTAGTCATAATTTATTTTTCATCTTGAAATATATTTATTAATTTTGGCTACTTTTAGGTTGTAGTTCATAAATATGCTGGTATTTTATCTGCTTACGGCATGGCACTTGCTGATGTAGTGCATGAAACTCAGGAGCCGTGTGGCTTAGTTTTTAATGATGAAAATGCTGGAATTTTTGAAGAACGTTTAAATTTGCTTTCAGAAGAATGTACATCTTCGCTAAAGCAGCAAGGTTTTCAAAATATTTCCCTGAAACCATTTTTACATTTACGCTACGAAGGAACTGATTGCGCGCTCATTTGTTCACCTGCTTCATCAAGCAAAACTGACAATATTTTATTAAAAAAATATGGTGACTTTTACACCACATTTTTAGAGCGTTATAGATCTGAATTTGGTTTTGTTCTACAAAATCGCTCAATTATAGTAGATGATATAAGAGTACGTGGTCTGGGTATTAACGATACTCCTCCAGAATTGCCGATCGGAGTAGCAGATAATAAGACGCCACAACCAGAAACTTATACTCAAATTTATTTCGACATGGGGGTATTTAACTCACCGGTATATCTTACTAAAGATCTACTTGCAAATCATGTAATAAATGGGCCTGCTATACTAATTGATCAGTTATCAACAATTCTTGTTGAACCAAATTGCACGGCCGAAATCACGCGTTTAGGGGATATAGTGATAAACGTCACTACAAGTGGAACCACTATCGTTGATGATAAACTTGACGCGATACAATTAAGCATATTTAGTCATCGCTTCATGAGCATCGCTGAGCAAATGGGAAGGTATATTCATTTCTATATATATTTAATAGAATCTTAATAGCAATATTTATAATATACAACTTTAGAGTTCTTCAACGTACTTCAATTTCAACTAATATTAAAGAACGTCTCGATTTTTCTTGCGCCTTATTTGGGCCTGATGGTGGTTTAGTCAGTAATGCCCCTCATATACCCGTTCACTTGGGTGCCATGCAGGAGACTGTACAATATCAACTAAAACAACGTGGTGAAACATTGAAAAATGGTGATGTTATTCTCTCTAACCATCCACAAGCTGGTGGATCCCATCTCCCTGACTTAACTGTAATAACACCCGTTTTTTATCAGTATGTCTACATAACTCAATAATTCAATTTTGTATGTTAAACTTTTATTTCTCTAAATACTTCAGAAATGAACTGAAACCAGTTTTTTTCGTTGCTTCACGTGGTCATCACGCCGACATAGGTGGAATAACACCTGGCTCAATGCCGCCACATTCCACTTCACTTTCACAAGAAGGTGCTGCATTCAAATCTTTCCTTATAGTTGAAAACGGCATATTTCAGGAAGAGCAAGTTGTTGAACGCTTTACAACCCCAACTGGTGCAAAAGGTGCTACAGGCACGAGAAATTTGTCAGATAATATATCTGATTTAAAAGCACAAATTGCTGCAAACCAAAAGGGCATACAGTTGGTTTCAGAGTTGATCGATAGCTATGGTCTACATGTAGTACAATCCTACATGCGCTATATACAACAAAATGCGGAAGTGGCGGTAAGGGATATGTTGAAGCAAATAGCAAGGGATACATTACAACGCACTGGTACAACAGTACTAGAAGCAGTAGAATGTATGGATGATGGTTCACCAATAAAATTATGTGTTACTATTGATGCAGAAAATGGTTCTGCACTTTGTGATTTTACTGGATCTGGTGTCGAAGTATGGGGCAATTGCAATGCACCGAGAGCAATTACACTTTCAGCTCTCATATATTGTTTACGTTGTATGGTGGGTTATGATGTACCACTCAATCAAGGCTGCCTTGCGCCTATAAAAATTATCATACCTAAAAACTCTATACTTGATCCTTCTGAGGGTGCAGCAGTAGTTGGAGGAAATGTATTAACCTCACAACGTATTGTTGATACTGTATTGAAAGCATTTAATGTTTGTGCAGCCTCACAGGGTTGTATGAATAATATTACTATTGGTGATGAAATGTGGGGCTATTATGAAACAGTAGCCGGAGGTAGTGGTGCAGGACCAACATGGAATGGTGTTGGTGGTGTGCATACACATATGACAAATACACGCATAACTGATCCAGAAATACTTGAATCACGTTATCCAATAATTTTAAATCGTTTCTGTTTACGTTCTGATAACTCTGGTGGGTATGGGCAGTTTTATGGTGGCGAAGGAATTGAAAGAGAGCTACTATTTCGTAAAGCAGTCACTTTATCAGTGCTTACCGAAAGGCGTACACTGCAACCTTATGGATTGGATGGTGGTTCACCTGGCAAATGTGGACTTAATTTGTTACAGAAGAGTGATGGACGCATTATTTCACTCGGTGGAAAAACATGTATTGATGTAGAAACTGGAGTGAGTTATATAGTGCAAAAAAATTTGTAATAGATTTTATACGCAAGTTTCTTATTTTAGGATATATTTTCAATGAAAACGCCTGGAGGAGGAGGTTATGGTAAAGCTACTTCTAACTCACAAGCATTGATTGACAAAAACACGAATGCACAGCAATTTACTGAACGAGGCACAGTTTATGAATATCGTCAGGCGCAAGAGTCAGCTTAAAAAATTCTTTGAAGTTATTTTTTTTTAAGTTGGAATTTAAATCATGCAAGTGCAATTTTAAAAAATATTTTTGTAAATAATTTGTTTTTACATATGCATATATGTGTTTATATTGTTATTAAACTTTGTTAACCCATACAATTTTTATTTTAGTCTAATTAGTTATTTTTATTTTGTTACTTCACTAAACATTGTTGTTTTTGTAACTCTATAAAATAATCTGCTTTTTGAGTCCTTGTCGCAAAAGTTGAGTCGAATATTAACGGCTATATTTGAAACACTCAGTCTACCATGCAAGTGAGAAATGATTGTACTCGAAATGTAGGCAGTGGATTATAAATTTAGATGAACGAGAAGTTTTTAAGTAAGAAACATTTTTGTCTGGTCAAACATGTTCTGCTTGTTACTTTTTTAATTTAGAAGTAAGATATATAGGGCGATAGACTAATTGTTGATGTTTGAATCTGGTCGTGTGACTGCTACAGCCCAAGAAGAGGAGGAAATGCTGATAGTGGACAATCTAAGTCCGAGAGCCACTCACAAATGCAGAGCTCAAGAATTATTTAAACATTCCAATGCACCAATCTAAGCCCGAAAACCACTCAGTAATTCAGAGCCCAAGAAATTTTTAAATATTTAAATGCACAAGAACGGTAATTTTTATGAGTAACTAAACTAAATTTGGCAGATCTTTTTCTTTGTAATTTTAAACCATAAATTAATTTTCTTTT